GAAAAGCATCAATGCTTGATACAGCCCATAAAGCAGACCATTAGGAGATATTAGGCAAAGGAACTTGGGCAACTTAACAAGGGAAGCGTTTGGCATACCTGTGGTACAGAATCAACAGGCATACAGTACCTAGTTCTGAAACTACCTCTGACATAGACAAGCCACATGTCTCTAGGGAAGACTCTTTTCATGGGGTCTTAGCCCTCCCTGTAAAATGAGAGAACTTGAACTTGATGCTCTAGTGCTTCCTTCACATCTGCCACTGGGACTCTGGGACTGATGTAAGATAATGACAAGAAAAGAGAGTGAAAGTCTTTATGTTTCTTCTCATTTGCCTTGGCCCTGTGGAAGTATGCTTTCAACTAACCGTGGGTATGGTATTACACTTTTTAGAAAGGTTCCCTGTTTGAGGCTGACTTCATCCTACTGGATGGGATCCCAGCCAATGTGATCCAAGGAGAGCAGCAGTACCTGGCTGCCCCCCTTGTCATGTTGAAGATGGAACCCAGTGGGAAGCTGCTACCCATGGTCATCCAGGTGAGGCACCTGGGGCATCCTCCTCCCAACACTGCTCTGTGTTCATCCCCAACCTCTGCCAAAGGACATAGACAGCAGGCTCTGGTCACCCACCCCTGCCTCATTCAGTGACACCTGTCCTTGTATCCAATATCTCCTTTCTACCTGACAGCCTACTTACTACTCACCTGGAATTGCCTTTCTGAGAGTCAGAATGCTTTTCGCTCTCACCATAAGGTTACTTAATCTCTTTTTGACCTATGTTTCTGTGGAATACTCCTTCTTTCTTAGACATATTTTCTCCCTTGGTTTTCATGTGTTTTCACTCTTACTGTTCTCATCAATCAATTCATAAGAACTGTCAGTTATCTCACATGTCCAACTTCTTTCGATTCTACCATCCTAACTCACACCCTCATCACGTTTCTCTCAATCATACTGCATTCCCTCTTTCCAATTCCTCCTGCTTTGAACCTGACCATCATGGCACTGTCACGTCCCCACAGCACTTAAGAGGGTGAGTGGAGGGGCCTTCATTCCTCCTCCTATATTATAATCCCTGGGAGACAATAATCTTAGTCACCAGTGTTTCCCCCAGAATAATAAGCATAGTTTCTAACAGGATGAAGCCAATGAATGCTTAGTTCCTCTTTGTTTCAGATCCAGCCTCCCAGCGCCAGCTGCCCCACCCCACCACTGTTCCTACCTTCAGATCCTCCACTTGCCTGGCTCCTGGCAAAGACCTGGGTCCGAAGTTCAGATTTCCTTGTTCATGAGACCCAGTATCACTTGCTGAACATTCATATGCTGGGTGAGGTCATTGCTGTGGCCACCATGAGGTGCCTCCCAGGACTGCACCCTGTCTTCAAGGTACATCCTCTACCCTCCATGTCCCATCTCCCTCACATCCCAGAGGAAGGAAACAATGCAACAATTCTCTAGGATTTAGAAAGCATAAGCCACTTGTTTGGAAGGAAGTTAAGAAAGTTTCTTCTAATTGAATGAGTGTCCATGTTATTGGAATAAAAATTCTTTATAGCAATTTGTGAACAGAAAAGAGGAAATTATTGTGTCAGGACCTTGCCCTTGTGGTTTTACTTCTAATGTTTAAATTATTTAATTTTGAGATAATCATAGATTCTTATGCAATTTGAATAAATAATACAGAGAGATGCCATCTATTGTATTAAATCAAGTAACTTAGCAAATATTCAGCACTTATTCTACAGCAGCTCTGATATTCTCCAGCAGAGTTTGCTGTAGAGCAAGGATATAATTTGATAAACAAAAGTATTAATTTGTTTTCACAGAGCTAGCATTTAACTAGCAAGAAAATGATACACATAAAAAAATAACCAGAGAACAGAATCTGGATATAAAGTTGAAATCAAGACAGAGAACAATAAACACTATATTTTTGATGGAGAATGTTCCACCACAGCTTAGGATTCATTAAGTAGAAGGCGAAAGGGATAAAAGACCAGCCCAAGAGGTTATTTAACCTGCCCAATAAGAGGTGCATGACATGGTAGTTAGATCAATGGAAAGGAAAATGCAAGGACCTTGTGATGAGAGGAAAGAGTAGTTGCACCATGCCTGGGTACAAGATTGGAGAGAAAGCTCAGAGGTCTGAGCTTCTGCAACAACTAGGAGCCCTCCTATTCAATACAGTTGTATTGATCCAAAAATATTGTAATTTTATAAAATAGTGAGCCTAGAATCTATTGCTAACCAGAAGATATCAAAAATAGCCATGTGCTTGTTTTAAAAACATTCTTGAAATCTTGATGACACCAGCAGTAGGAGCAAAAATCGTACAAGCTTATGAACCAGAACAATTGTCAGAAACAATACAGTCAGCAGAAGCCCATTTTCAAGTCAAAGATGATATGTTCACTTTTAGGTACATGGAGTTTGAAGTGGTAGCAAGATATGTGAGTGCATGCTGGGTAGAATGTCTGAATTGTGTTTCTTCCAGGAGTCCCAATCTTCACCTCCAAACCTGTCCATTGGTAGCAGTGACCCCTTTGGGTCCTGGGGTAGCATAGACAAAATAGACCTTAACAGAACTCCGTGATGTTGGAGTTCATTGACTTTACGATGCTTTTTCATCACCATTTTCTGTATATCTCAGAGATTGAAAGTTCCTACCAGATGTGCGCTCAGGGCCCTCATCTCTAAATGGGGATAATGGGCACTCTATCATGGAGTTGATTAACAGCGTTACATAAACTAAATGCAACCAAAAAAAATAGTAGTTCTTGCTATTATGATTAGTTCTTTGTCTTCTGGTTTCTTCCCTCCTCATGTAGACATTGCGTTTCCTATGACGCTCAGCATCTTTAATGGTCTTTCTGGGGGTTCAGACCAATGTGAGTTGCTTTGTTATGTTGATACCAATGATATCAGTTGGGTTCTTCCCTCTCTGCAGCATCACCAACTCACATAAATGCCAATATTGCATGAATCCTCCATCTCAGGTTAAAGAAGAAATTGTCTAAAACAAACTGAAATACACAAGAGGATCAGATGGCCGTTTCGAAGAGCAAAGGGAAAGCAGGAGAGAGAGCCCTAACTGTGCCTAATTGGAGGTGGGAGGAGATTTGGCAACAAATTTTTGCTGTTAAAGAGGGTAGATCAATATTGGTCCTTAAATTCTGACTGAAAGTACCCTACCCATACCAATCCCTGAAATTTTAAAAATGCATACTAAAAGAACTAGAGGTTGGAGGAGCAGCTTTGAAAATTAGTAGAAAGGCAAGTTTAAGCTGTAAGGATGTGTATGCTAGAAAAATTATTTTAAAATATCAAAAGTTAAAGGACTGATTCTCAAAGGACACCTATACTCAAGGTAAGAATAATAAAAGTAATGATAAGAGCTACTATTAAAGGATGTCTGTGTGATAGGCAATATACTGAACACTCTCATACATTATACATATGTTATACGTATAAGGATCACTACAGCACCGCGTGATGAGACCCTATTGTCATCCCATGTAAAGAGATAAAGAGACGGGTGCTTAGAGGGCTTATTATCTTGGTCAAGTATTAAAATAAGTGGTGAAGATTAAAATCCTGGTCAGTCAGACTCCAAAGTTCAACTCACAGAGCAATGGGAGAACATGAGACTAAGAGATCAGAGATGGCAGAGACTGTCCGGCAAAGGCACTAGCAGGTAGGAAAGCATCAAGAGGGAGAGAAAGCCAAGAATGTTGTACATAAACCACCCCCTCCAACCTTCTCCATCCAGCTCCTGATCCCACACACCCGCTACACCATGGACATCAACACAAGGGCACGGAACCAACTCATCTCAGATGGAGGAATATTTGATAAGGTAAGGAGGTGGATTGTGGGACCACCTACTCACCCAAGTCTGCATAACGTCCTGTCACTTTCAACATTCCAAATGCCCCTGTGTGACTGTTCTGACCCTTTAACCCAGGAGCCTTGTCCCTTTATGCCAATGTCTTTGAATCTGAAAAGGCCACACCTGACCAGTTTATATAGTATGCCATGTTCTCCAGCTCCGTTTGTCCCCTCAAGTCCTCTCATTTCTATTGTCACAGGGATGGAGCACCGGTGGAGGGGGCCATGTGCAGGTGATGCGTCGGGCCATGGCTCAGCTGACCTACCGCTCCTTCTGTCCTCCTGACGATCTGGCTGACCGGGGCCTGCTGGGAATCCCAAGTGCCCTCTATGCCCATGATGCTTTACGGCTCTGGGAGATCATTGCTCGGTGGGTGAGACTTGGAGAAATAAAAGGTATTAGGAACAGTGAGAATAGGGCTTTAACCTGAGGTCAGCATGAGGCCAAAGGAATGAAATAAGAAAGTTCAGAGAGGAGAAGCAAAGGAGTCAATTGAGAAGAGATAAGGAACAGTGAGGAGATGGTGGGTAGGGTCTGAGGATGGGAAGGTTGAAATAAACAGTATAAGTAGGCAGACTTGTGTGGGTGAGTGAAACCATGTGATCTGGTGGAATCAGGGATTTTGTTATGAAGAGTGACTATAAACCATGTGTTTGGAATTCTTTTTCTTTATTATTTACTATATTTGTACCGATTTCAGAGGGGAAGGGAGAGGGAGAAAGAAAGAAACATCAATGATGAGAGAATCATTGATTGGCTGCCGCCTGCTAGCCCCTCCTGGGGATCTAGCCAGAAACTCAGGCATGTGCCCCAACTGGGAATTGAACTGTGACCTCCTGGTTCATAGGTCCACACTCAACCCCTGAGCCTCATTGGCCAGGCAGAATTCTTAAAACCAATGTCACACATTTCCTTCTTTTCTAACTAGTGTGTAGAAAGAGCTCCGGGATGTCCCAAAAGGCAAATCTTGTCAGATCTGTTCCCAGGTACAGTGAGATTCAGCTTGATAGAGTCCACAGAAAAGGAGTAGCAGCCAGAGGCTAGGCAGGGG